ATATGAACAAAGAGAACCAGTGTATTAGAGGCAAGTCCAGCTCTCTATACACTACACTATACATTGGCGTCTAACTCAAACAGGAAAGGATCCCTGGAGCCCCATATTAGAAGCTTAGAAAACCATAAATAAACATTATCTACATAGTATTGTATTTTTATTTATTTTGTTAAACATTTCCCAAATACATTTTAATCTGGTTCAGGTCAGAGTTTGACCTGAACGCATCTGACACAGTTTGACACCTCTGCATTACACCATGCTTCCTCCCATGCTAGTGTTATACTTCAGTAAAAGTTAAGATAAACAATAACTGCTGAAACCATTAAAATTGAGACATCTATATTAAGTTGTTTTTACGATAAAAAATTAAAAATTAAGAGCTCATTAAAAAGGGCTAAAATGTTTAGGGCAAAAAAAAACAAAGGAGTGGGGGCAAAAACACTAAGACAGATTTAGGCCTAGAAAATTAAGAGTTCTAAATCTGAATGACATTTTTAAAAAATAGTATTTTATTTTTCCCCAACTAAAAGTAAAGATAATTTTTAACATACTTTTTTTTTAATTTTGAGTTCCTTATTTTCTTCTTCCTTCCCCCTCTTCCTAAGATGGTAAGCAATTTGATATAGGTTATACATGTGCAATCATGCACAACATATTTCCATAAAAGAAAGCACAGACCTAAAGAAAAAACACACACACAAAAAAAGTGAAAAACAGTATGCTTTAACTGCATTCACTCCATCAGTTCTTTCTCTGGAGGTAGATAGCGTTTTTCCCTTCCTTTCCTTAGACAGCATGAGTCCTTTGGAATTGTCTTGGATCATTGTATTGCTAAGAATATCTACGTCCTGAATACGATTATTGGTAACAAGTATACCTGCATTTTCCAAATGGACTATGTATTTTAATATATCAACAGGACTATCCATTTAAGTATATCTTAGTTGGCTAGATACAATTGTATCTAGTTACACATACATAATTCTCAATTATGCTATTTAATAAATATGCTACACTTTTTAAAATCAAGTAACAGCTACAAAAATATCACATATTTAATAAATTATGGTATTTTTATTTACCTTTATATAATTATTAAACTAAATATTACAGGATGGCAGTTTCTAAATTTATATGGCTAGAACACATGGGATCAAATTTTTTCCCTCTTTTATTCTTTGAGATCACATCTTAATAGTTTACTTTAGTATATACCATTAATATATTCAAAATTCTAAGAATCATACAAGAAGCTCAATAAATAAAAACAAATATTTTTCCAAAGAGGTTGGCAGGTACATTCATGGATAGCATTCTAACATACTCTCAGGCTGCTTTACCATAAAAAGCCAGATTGCATAGTCAGAGAATGCAAATATTTAACAAAATAACAAAATAGGGATAAAATTTTTACCAAAGACAAATTTTTGGTAGAACTATTACAATAACACAAACTTTCCTATTAATTGTTCCCTAAATTTGACATGCCATCTCCCATAATATGCCTCTGCGCAAGTTCTAGTACATTCCTACAAGGTATTCTTTCTTCATCTCTGCTTTTTAGAATCCTCCAACCTCCTTTAAGACTCAACTCAGTCTGATAAAGGTCTCATTTTTAAGATATAAGGAATGAGTCATATTTATAAGAATAAGAGTCATTCCCAATTGATAAATAGACAAAGAATATGAAGAAACAGTTTCAAAGGAAGAAATCTAGTTATCAGTAGCATATGAAAAATGATCTAACTCACTAATAGAGAAATACAAATTTAAACAACTCTGAGGTAACACCTCACATCCACCATACTATCAAAGTTAACAAAAAAGGGAATGGCAAATAATGATGGGGCTGTGGGAAAACAAGCCACATTAATGTGTTACTGATTGAATTTTTATAAACTAGTCCAGCCATTCTGGAAAGCAATTTGGAGCTATGCTCAAAAAGCTATTAAATTGTGAATACTCAGTAATACCTAAGTTATACCCCAAAGAGATGAAAGAAAGAGAAAAAGGACCTATATTTATAGCAGCACATTTCATGAAGGCAAAGAATTAGAAACTGAGGGGATACTCATCAATTGGGGAACAGATAAACAAGTTATGGCATATGAATGTGACGGAAGACTATACTGAGAAAAGATGAAGGGGATGAAAAATCTGGGAAGACTTGTATGAACAAACGCAAAGAGAAGTAAGCAGAATCCAGGGAAAAATACATACAACAACAACATTGTAAAGACAAGCACCTTTAAAAGATTAAGGAAATCTGGTCAATCAATGAAAAATCACAATCCCGAACACTCATGATCAAACACGCTATCCACTTCCAGATAAGAAAGGTGATAGACTCAAAATTGATGATTATGACACTTTTTTTGGACATGGATGATGCAAGAATTTGTTTTAATACAAATTTGTACAAATTTTAACAGGTTCTGTTTTTCTTGCTTTCTCGATGCGAGGAGGGCAAAGTAGGAGGAAGAAAATTCAAAACTGAAAAGAAAATATAATTGGATTTTTAAAAATGATTAATTCAGGTGCCACCTCCTAGGTGAAGCCTTTACTGATGTCCCCAGTTGACCGTACTCTCTTGATTCAAAAATTACTTTCCATTTACTTAGCTTTACATTTACCCCACCAGCTATGTAAGCTCCTTGAGGCCAAGGAATATTGTTTTTGTCTTTATAACATCTTGGCACATGGTGGGCATTTAATAATTATTTGTTGAACTGATTGTCTTTTAAATCAAAATGATGCTTTTTCTATTTTCTTCACTATTACTTAGTCCTATTACTACAGATCAATTACTACTTTATTCTGGAATCACATCAAAAGTTACCTAAATCTCAGGGCTTTATTTTTTCAAAGTTTAGATTTCCTAAGAACTCATTGACAAATATCTATTTGAAGATCCTTACATAATGACAGAAAAATTAATTTCTATCACATCACAATTGTATCTAGTTACACATACATAATTTTGCTATCATTTTACATTGAAATCTGACAAACTTATCTAAATCTTTCTCATTACTCAAAAACACTACTGGATTCATTCTGTATGAGAAGAATGGTATGAGCTTCAAAATCAACTGACTTCTCTATCCACACCTTTTGCACTAAAATGACTTAAATTCTGAACATTTTTCAAACATATCTATAACTCATTTCAAACCTAGTATCATTAATAATCTCATTTTATCACTACCTCAATTGACTTATTTCCATCTTTATACTATCAGACTTTATCCTTCCCATTTCTGTCTTCAAATTCTGGTTTTAGGATCAATCCCTCTTTTAAATATCCCATAATGAGCTAAAAGTAAATTACTCATTATAATATAAATATGTATGATCAATAGTAATATTCTTTTTAAAAGGCAAAAAAATTGTTAAATCTTTCATTTATTTTATTCCAAATTTGTTTCTCACTAATTTTTACCTCTTTTCACAACAATAAATTTCTGATCTGCTAATGCACTGAGTTTCTACAGGTTATACTTCATTTTTTGCAATTCACACTAACTTCTCATAAATGATACAAAGCCTTATTTTTTACTAAAAAAAAAAATTCTCTGGCAAACTGTGCACTTACATACTACTGATCTATGTATCTTTAGTCAAATGTAAGAATACATGTATATGTTTATGGAGAGGGAATTATTATTAACAACTCACATTTATATAATACCTTTATTGTTTGCAAAGCTCTTTTCTCACACCAATCCTGAAGCCAGTCAATCCAAGAATTATTGTTCCTATTTTCATTTTTAAAGACAAAATATCTTTCATTTACTTTGCCTGTATAACTCACTGTGGTAGGATAAATTCTATAAGGTTCAAAGGACAAACCAATAACCTATGCTTATCAATCACATCTAAAAGCAAGTCTCATTCCAAAATACTACTAAGTACTAACTTATAAATACTTATGATGGAAGGATGCTAAATTAAAAGATGAAAAAGTTAGTTAACTTTTCCTTGACAGTTCTATTATAACACTTGCCTCATCAACTAACAGATTTTTTAACATTCATATGCCATAACTTGTTCATCCATTCCCCAATTAATGAGTATCCCCTCAGTTTCTAATTCTTTGCCTTCACGAAATGTGCTGCTATAAATATAGGTCCTTTTGTTCTTTCTTTCATCTCTTTGGGGTATAACTTAGGTATTACTGTCATTTCAGAAAGAATTCAAGTTTGAGGAAGGTAATAAATAGAAGACAGAATAATGGAATGTGAACATAAATTTTCTACCAATACAAAATTTAGATGCAATTTGCCTTTGCACACACACACAAAAAGAAAAGCAAATTCTATGATATACCTTTGATATTAAGGTCAAACTAAAAATCTAACTTAATTTTTAATAAACCTAGACTATTTCTAGGATATTTTCAGCTAAACCTGTCATTTAATTGATGTAGGAAAAGTTCTGCCAATGTAAGTTAGCACTGATAAAGCCTATTCAGTATTCAAGTATAATATGTGGTTGGCAAAGTGGTCACACACAAACACACACTCTCTCTTTCTCTCTCACTAACCCCCTTTCTCACTCATCTACGTGTTCCTATTATAATTCCAGCAGCATGTACAACAAATATAAATGTAGTATAAGATGGAACTAAAAATACAATAAAATAATGGATAAATTAATGCTGATAGCTTTTAATCAAAATCATATTAATAATGTCTCAAACTATAAACTCACTAGAATTAGTATACACATACGAAAGGATTTAGCTTTTTAAATCTTACATACCTTCAGAAGTCCCTTTATTTCACATGAGATTGACAATTATTTTGCTTTTTAAATATACTATCCAAGTGTACATCTTCAGTCCATGTGTTAATAGGATAAAATCAGATGAACTAACACATTACAAGAGGAAATTGTTATACAAATTTGTATGTTACTGGGAAATCGTTTCCATAATAATTTTAATTAAGTTAGTACAAAAACTGTATCAAAAGTGAATAAGTACCAAATTTTACCTTTTCTGTATTGTAATATAAAGATTTCAAAGTGGTAAACAAGGGTGGGCAGCCTTTACTGAAGTTAACCCTCAGGAACTTATCCATTAGTTCTCTAAATTTTTCACCTAGAAACAAAATTGTATTTTGTTAAACTTTGATTGTTGTGAACAACTCTTAAAATGATCAGTGTTTAGGTTTTAATAATGCAAATAAAATTCTCAAAAACTGCAACAAAAAGAAGAAAAAGGAATAAAAAAGAATTTTAGGATCATATCTGTTACTATCAAAACGAATGGCAGTTTCTTTCACTTACCATTAGTATCAGTGATCCTTAATTTTTTTTCCTGCATCAAAACATCAACAACTTATCTTCAAGCAGTACTTCAAAAAACAAGCTCTACAAATTTTTTTTCACTTAAGAAAGGCTCGTAATTCACCTACAACCCTTTCTGACTATAAATACAATACTAAGTAACTATGTTCTACAATCTGTAATTCTGGAACCCTACAAACAAGGGGAAAATAGTATCATGTCATTGAAGAGAATCCAAAAAGCATATAACTCAATGTTAACTATAATCAAAATTATATTCCAGAAGTATAAGGAAAAGCTGTAATTATCAAAAAAATCTCCTTTTATACTAAACAGTATTTATTACTACTATCCAAAATTAAAATATATGACTCACTTTAAACAGTAACTATAAAAATCAATTAGCTATAGAGCCCTAATGACTATATAAAGAAATTCTAAGAAAAAAAATATGGTCTAGTGGAAATGACATTGGCTTTGGCATCAAAGGGCAAGGATGCAAATTCTGTCTCTGCTACTTTGTAGTTCCTGCACATTCTTATCAAAATCCCTTTGATTTTCTAGGGCTCATCATCCACATCTATGAAATGAGGTAATCCTTTGGTAACATTACCTATGAAAGAAACTTTAGGGGTAGCTAGGTGGTACAGTCGATAGAGCACCGGCCCTGGATTCAGGAGGACCTGAGTTCAAATCTAGCCTCGGACACTTGACACTCACTAGCTGTATAACCCCAGGCAAATCACTTAACCCCAATTGCCTCACCAAAAAAGCAAAAAATAAATAAATAAAAAGGTATTTAAAAAAAAGAAAAGAAAGAAGAGGTTTAACCTCAAAATGAAAGATGTATTAAATTTCACAAATATTTGAAAGGAAAAGGTAGCTAGTTTGGAGAGTTGATGAAATAAATATATCTACATCTATATCAGAATATAAAATATTTTTAAAAATTCATTAAATGTTAATCTCCCATAAATTGTTTTTATATAATCAACAATGCTAATTTTAGTTAACACAAAGCCCTCCCCAATTTTCCCAGTAGTTAGTGCTCTTCTACCTCTCAAATTAACCCAAATTATATGTATTCATGTACTTGTGTCACTCTTCCTCACTGTCAGTAGAATGTAAGCTCCTAGAGGGCAGTGAGAGTTTTATTTTTGTTATTGCATCCTAAGGCCTAGCACAGTACCTTAAATATTGTAGGGAATGGAATAAATTTTCACAACCAAAATGTCTGTTAAACAGAATGCAAAAAGCACTTAGTTTAACTATCCAAAATTTCACTCTGAATTTCAATTTTCACCTTGCCTCCTTGAAAACTCAAATGCTACCATGCCCAAACACCTCCATATACTAAATGCCTCCTTAAACTAAATGATAATAAGATACAAAAGCAAAAGTCAACAATACTGTATAGTAGCCAAATCAAGAATCCATATTTCTCCACTCAAAATGGAAAAGACTAGATACTAAGTTTCTTAAAGGTTCTGCTTTCCATAAATGCTTTCCTCCTTCAATTAATACATCATTCACCCTTCTACTGGACCAGTCCTCCTTTGTTGTTTTTTCATCACTCTTCACTCAAATCATAAAGCCTGGTTGATGAGATATTACTTAGAATTCCTAAATCAACTCTCAATTATTCACAATAACAAAGAACAAAAATAAAAATGTTATTTTAACATCTTCTGCAACTAAATTTTATCATATTTACTAACCACTTAAAATCATACTTTTCTCCCTATATTTCTTTTTATTTACTTGACCACTTTTTGCCACTAAGAGATTAAATGCCCAAATGCAGTTAAGAGAGGAACTGTAATGGCAAAGATATTGGTCAACCAAACTCTATCAAAAGATGACTACATACTTTCCCCAACATTGGTTTGGACACTTTAAAGATTCTTTGTTCAATTGTCTAATCTTTATTTTTATATAAATGGCATATCTAATAAAAACAAGTATTCTGTCACTTTACATAAATACAACTAATTCTCAACGTTATAATGCTGAAGAGACTTGTAATGAGATCTGATAAATTAAAATGAAAGACACTATGAGTTTGCTGCCATAAATTTGTAGAGTCAGTGTCCACTAATGTTCAGTTTCTTTTTTTCCATAAAAACGATTCATATGACCTAGATGAAAACATAGGTCACTACATTATGAAATGGAGCATGAAGATATGAGCTATATAAAACTGGAGAAAGGAATCAAATAACCTCTCCTCTTTTAGATTATAAAATTATAGTCAAAGAAGATATACTCACCACCACCCAATCCATCACCTAAAAATATTCTTGTTTTGCCACTTAATCTAAACCTCATTATCAATCATACTGCCAATTGTTTCAAGGATGTCTGAACATTTCAGTACTTTAGAAGGTATCTATATTTGCTCAAGGCATAAACTTATTAAATATGCCTTTTCTATGAGAACGACAGAGAATAGACCTCACCTTGGGAGCCAAGCATTTCATTTGACAGTTACTAACAGGGTTTTACTTGTTACTTGAACTAATACTTATGAGCATGCCCCAAAGAATAACATTTTAGAAAGACAAACTATGTCCTTAAGTCTTTTTTTCATCTAACACTTGAGTTTTTTAATATTGTTTTGTTTAGGTAATAAAGTCCATTGAATTCATTATATGCTTCTTCGGAATCCTTGTATCACAAAACATAGTATTTTGTACCAATACTGCACACTCAAAGTGTTAGGACTTTGCTCAAGAGACTGGGAAATTTCACTGAGAAATTATTCTCTAAAATAATTACCAAAAGATGACAAATAATTTTTTTTTAAAAATCAGACTATTTTTATCCACATAAAATTCTGTCCCACAAAGTAATAGTCATTTAGGATTCCATTTTGAAATTCTTTTGCCTCAGGATTATTAATACTACATAATGTAAATGTAGAAGGAAAGGATTCCTAGGACTTTTGCTGTGTAAATTTCTCGAATATATCCTACCTTCAAACTCTTTATTCTTAGAGAAAGACCTCCTTCAAAACTTTCTTCACACCCTCCCCCATCATGTTCAATGAAACAAGATATTTCTACTATGATTTTCATTCATTTTCCCTTTTTGAGGCTTTAAGAAGAGGGTAGTATTTCTTTCTTCAGCTCCCAAAAACTGGTCCACTGTCATGCCACCACCTGTACATAATTTTTCATCTCCCACCTCTATGCCTTTATACTAGTGGTCCCCATCTCCAGAAAGCATTTCCTTCTGACCTCTGCTGTAATACCTCACAAAGCCGTAACATATTCTGATAATAAAATGGCTGACAAAGGAAGTTCCTGCCAATTAACATTCTTCATATCACAACCAACACCTCCTATTTCTTTCTTTCTTTTGCTTTTTGGTGAGGCAACTGAGGTTAAGTGACTTGCCCAGGGTCACACAGCTAGAAAGTGTCAAGTGTCTGAGGCCACATTTGAACTCAAGTCCTCTTGACTCCAAGGAGCTCTATCTTAGCTGCCCCTACACCTCCTACTTCTAGGCTGTATGGATACACAATTTTAAAAAGGAACACAGGTTCTTGGTAGCTCATAAAACCTGGAACATAATATGCAATTATGGAATCTTTATAACCTTCAGAGAAAATGAAATGATCCAAAAATCTCAAATCCAAGAACAAAGTAAGGTATATCTTGTTTACTTCTTAAATGGGAAGTTGTTTGTTTTTTTTTAGTTCAATTACAGAAAGAGAGAGACAGACAGACAGAGATGTAAATAAAGAAGTAAATAAAAGTTTTCAAAAAGAATCTCAACCTTGGAATCCCAATCTCAAAGAATCCCAATCAAATTTCTGCATAATTTCTTAAATTCTAAAGTGGAATGTATAATAATTTGCTACAAAAATATAATAATCTTATGAAATTTCCCAAGAGAATTTGTATTGACCCCATTAGAATGTCAGTCAGCTCCTTGAGGACAGGGAACATGTTTCTGTCTTTCTTTGTAACCCCAGAGCTTGCATAGTGCCTGGCACATAGTAAGTACTCAAATAAATGCTTGTTGACTGACGAAAAAATTACAGAGCTATCTCGAAGTCTGGAAAAAATCTTAACACAATACACAGTAGGCAACAACCTAGAGAATAACAAAAGACATTTTTTTTACATTCCTCTCTCCATGGTATGAAAATTCATCGTTACATCTCTAAATTAAAATAAACTATTTTAAGATAGGGGCAGGGAAAATACAATTTCCATGCTTTGCATAGGGTATAAAAATACTTCCATCCTGGCTCTGTCCAGCTGGAAAAAAAAACTTAAGTCCTTTAAATTATGCCAATTTGGAAAAATGACAATAGTGATCTAAAACATATCCAGATAGTACCTGGGACAAAGTTTAAAGGTAATCTTCTGGGTAAAAGTGCTCTAGGGTGCCGCTTACTTATTTCTTCATAAATATGAAGCTTCTCTTCTAAGGTGCCTATTATTAATAAACACATACAAGATATAGTAAAAAAAAAATATGTAAAACATAAACAGCAGTTTTACATTTCTGAATTACAAAAAACTACAAATTACAAAAAACTTTTAAAATTATGGCAAGGCTGACTTTTTAAATTTTGTAGTGCCAAGATATTTAAAATACTACCAAAATAACTTAATAAACAATACTTTAAAAACCTATAGCATTATTCCCAGGAAGAACAGCCCCTTCCCAAAGCAGGGCCAATTTTACCTGGAACACAGATAATATATTCTGTTTTTACCTCACTCTTTAATATGCCCTTCATTATCAGCAAAGTAATGATTCATTATAACATATAAACAATCATTAAGTAGCAGAGATAACACATACTTCCAGAAAATTATACGGAAATAAATGAAAGCTAATGGGATGGCTTTATAGCTCCAAAATTCCTAGATGTCATGAATGTATTTACATTTCATTTCAAAGGTAAACCGTTGGAACTTCTGTACATGTAATATAAATACTAAGAGGCACAAGTAACAGTCTAGATAGAGGGTTGCACTGGGTGTCACAAAGACCTGGGTTTATTCTACCTCTGACATCCTAACTATGGAAGGACATCTTTCTTCCCCCAAGAATATGTTTTGGAGCTCCAGTGTGGTTAGATTTTAAAACTGAGTTATTCAAATGAGAATAATTACTTTCAGATTATTAAAGATCTGGAGATATTTTGAAACATTAAGTAATCTAATTCAAAAAAATTACATGAAGGTTATTGCACAAAATGTGCTTTATATGGCTATGCTTTGTGTTATAAAATAGCAAAAATCTCCCTGATGTCACCAAGCTATGATTATATTCTTAAAAAGTTTACTCACTGGTTCCAGAGTAAAAGTCTTGTCACATACTTAAAATTAGAATGTTGTCAGGAACAAACCATTTCAGTGCCCTATTTGATGTCACAAGTTGGAGCTCCAGAACTTACCAAGGGAGAGGAAAAGTCCTAAGGACACCTAAAAAATAAAGTACTATGGTTATTTTTTGTAAATTGATGGAATTTAAAGTAACATAGGATCTTGATATATAGAAGTTAATTCATTTCATCTTCTAATTAAACACAAAAAATACTCTCTTTACTATTAATTACTGTATTAGTAACTAAGACTTTACATCAACATTTCAGCAGTTTAAAAAATATTTGATGAAATAAAGGTTAAAAATAACTGACCTAAAATAGCTATAGACACATATCTTATCTCACTTTGATTTTTTCCCACTCTATATCTACAATCTTGAAGAACACTGAGGTAAAACAGGGATAAAAGCAAGTAGTTTTGTTACCGTTTGTTACATTTGACTTTTTTTTTAAACTACATAAGAAATTCAGTTTCACATACATCCCTCTTTTTTTGTTCTCAGTATATTCAAATGTTCATATCTGTAGAAGTTTTTTAAAAAAGATAAGATCAAATCAATGCTCTAAATTCATCAACAATTTGATTAACGAAGAGTTAAAGGATATATTACAGACAGATGGCTCTGCTCACAGTAAATACTTTGTTCAAGAGAAGTGCATAACTTAGGAAGTGGAATAGAAATGGTTAAACCACTAATCTGTAGTCAAAAGAACACACCCAACTTTGCTAACTGAAAGAAAAATATTAAATTTAGAGCACACTAAGGCAAGTAACTTTTCAGTAAGATCTTTCATATTAAAAAAAAATTTTAACTTATTTCCCAGGCTGTATTTCCAAAATATGAAAACTATATAGGCAGGACCAATTTTTGTCACAATATCCACACATTTACCCGTGATAAATTTTGTTTTAGAAATTTACATTTTTACTCCAGCAAACATTTAATTTCAGAAGTATTAACTGAAGAAATTAAAGAAGGATAATCATGAAACTGTATGAGTCTTTTTAAATGATAACAAATTACACTAAATGTTTTTCTTCTGCATTCTACAAATAGAGGAAAAAATGCAATTTGACAGAGTTGAAAGAGATAAGTGTTAGGGTATTTTCATCATTATTATTATTATTATTATAAAAAAATACAATATATACCAAATTTGCTAGGTCCTTAACTCTGTTTTAGTGGTAAGTTTAATGCAAGTAAAATTAAGTACAAGTAAATTAACTACAAAACTAAAGACAATAAAACTCATTAGTTTTTATCTACTAATTTAGAAATTCTGATAGCAAAAGGTAAATTTTATCTCTATCAAAGTTGGGAAAACTACCTTTGATGAGAAAGTTAATAGAGAAACAAAATGGGAAGGGATAAGATAAAACTACTTCAAGAACCAAACTTAAGTCATATTCATTGACATTTGAACAGTATGTTTAATGTATATATTCATTAAAGCAATGAACTTAGCCTAATAACCTCTGACCATTTCTATGGCAGCTAATTATTAGCAGAATATAACCTTGAGCAAATCCTAACTTCTCTGGCTTTAATTTTCTTCATCTATAAAACAAGGATAATATTTACCCTGTAAATATCCAGGGTTATTATATGAACAGATCTTTGTAAAACTGAAAGTGCTGTAAATAACGACAGCTCTTGCTATTATTCTATGAATCTGAAACACACGTGATTACAATACTTTATAACTATTCTGTACTGATTTTTCATGAAAAAGTTGTATCTTTACCATCAATTAGTAACATTTTGATGTATATAATGCTGTTAGCTAAAAGGTAATTTTTAATTCTCTCTAAAGCATTTAACATTTAAAATATTTCCTTAAAATTCATGAATATTTAAATATTTATTAATATGAATTTACAAAATAGAAAAAAAAGAAAGCCTCAATATTAAAAAAATACCACTGAAATGTGTTGTTCTGTAGATCTAATAATGGAGTTTTACAGATTATTCTTCAAAACAGTAACATTTTAAAAGCAGTTAAAATAAATTTATTACATACAAGGTTGCAGAGCTTTTTCTAAGCCTTCATAGTAATTCCAGTTTTCAGCATTCCGATCAATCAAGTCTTTGAATATTTCACCAGCTTCTTTCAATCTTCCCAATTTCAACAGTACTTCTCCTAAAATTAAGTTTGATATTTTTATGTGAGCTAGTCAATTTGTACTAAATTATCAACTACAATAAATGGGGGAGGGGAACAGGATATCCACATATGTTTTCTTTCTGGGAAATTTGCAGAAGACAAATAAAGGACATAACAATTTACAGTCTGGTTTCCAAAAATCAAACTCCATTTTCACAGTTCATCGAATGACTGCTTAGGTTCCAGAATTTCTATAACCTCTGTTGTATAATTTCACAGAAAACTTGAGTTGGAAGAAACCTCAAAGGCCAACCTGTACCTGAACAATAATTCTCTCTACCACATACTTACGGTACATAATAAATGGTTATAAAGTTTTCTTAAAGACATCTAGTGGAGTTGTGGGGGAGAACCCAATACCTCCTGAGGGAGCCCCCTCACTTTAAAAGAACCTACAGTAAATTTATTTTAAAACTAAAATGAAAATAAAATTTCTTAATTTAATGGCACTCCTTAAATCATTTCAAAGAACCCTGGGGAGATAGAAAAACTAAGGTTGGGAATCTGGTCAAATATATTTTCTATGATTTGAGATAGTTTTGGGGGTCAAACTACATCTTAAACTCAATTTTCTTGTGACATACCAGAAAAGGCAGTCATAAAGAATTAGGAAAAAAACTTTAGGTATAACATAAGGCAGATTTTTGGCCCAAAGTAAAAATAAAATGCCTCAATTTGGGCTGACAGGAGCCATATTTTTTATTTAGTTAGTATTTTATTTTTTTCCAATTACATGTAAAGATAATTTTCATCATTCATTTTTTGAAAGATTTTGAGTTCCAAATTTTTCACCCTCCCCTTCCCCTTCCCAAGACAGCAAGCAATCTGATACAGATTATACATGTGCAATCATTAAAAACATATTTCCACATTAGTCATACTATGAAAGAAGAAACAGAACAAAAGGAAAAAAAAACACACACACACAAAAAAAATAAAAATAGTATGCTTTGATCTGCATTCAGACTCCATCAGTTCTTTCCCTGGATATAGGAGCCATCTCCCTAAGAGCCATATTCCATGTCCCACAACAAGCAAACTAGTATCTCACTGCAAAAACTTATCAAGTACAGTAGTACAATAACATAATGCCAAAGTATCCAATTTTATGTTGCATTCTTTACTCAACTACATTTACGATCAACCACTGAACCTTGTTACTGTAATCTCTAGTCATGAAGAGCTTAGACAGCATGGTATGTGTGGGGTTTTGAAGATCTGTGATCAAATTAACTTATTTCGTTGAAGATTTTGGTTCATTATACTAAAGGAAAGATATATGCTACTCCCTTACAAAAAGACTGAAGATATTTTGAGGAGTTAAAATAGCATATACAATTATAGAGACATACTAATTCAGCAAGAGGATAACTTCAATTCAGCTAACAGATTTTTAGAAGTTCATGATGTTAAACTTTTTGAAAATTACTTAACTAGTAGATGAGATAAATGCTATGAATACAGCTTACAAAGATTTTAGCAAAGCTTCTGATAAATTATCTCATACTATTCTTGAAGAAGATGAAAAGATGAGATCAGAGATACTCACAATAGGCTCATAATTGGGAAATATTTAACAAAATAAATAAAAATGCAATAGAATACCGATAATGGCAATATATAGTTTTCTGAGTCAATATACTGTCTACGTGGATCCTTGTGTACCAGAGGCCCTGGCTTCTATTTGAGTATGACATCAGTAAATTAGATAATCATTCTACAAAATGGATTTGGAACATGTTGAATGGCTAGACTCAAAGAGTAGTCATTAACATCAACATGGCAGGTCACCAGTAGAGCTGACCTGAAAAAAGATCTCGAGGTTATGGTGCACTGTAGGCTCAGTATCAGGTAGTAATATGATATGAAAGCCAAAAAAGCTAATACCATACTGGGCTGCCTAACTTCCAGGAACTAAGAACTCTACTCTTTCAACAGAACTCATATGGAGTGTTGTGTTCAATTCTTCATGCCATAGTTTAAGAAGAATTTTGATCAGCTTAAGTGTGTCAAGAGGACAGCAACCAGGAGAATGAGGGATCTTCAGTCCATGATGTATGACGATTAATTAAAGGAATGAGATATGTTTAGCCTAGAGAAAAGAAGATTCTGGAGACATGATAGCCATTTTACTTCAAGGGATGTCATATGGAGGAATGATTAGTACTATGCCAGAGACAATTCTTTCTTATTTTCAAAGTAAATTAGTAAATTGTCAGCTTTTTTTTTTTACTTAAACCATATCACTGTCCTTCCTTAAGCAGTATGCAGGAAAAAATGTTTTCATAACTAACAAAGATATTAATTATTTGGACAAAAAGACAATTGGTTAGTTGGTGTCTTTACTCTCTTAATTGTATACTACTTCAAATAATCAGGCAACAACTAGTAAGGCACAGGATAAATTCTAGAGGCGTAACCATTCTTTTGAAGGGTGATTTTCAAAGAAAGAAAAAGCAGAGCAACTTATCCTTAATTTCTTCTACTACAAGTTTATCACAGATTTGATTTTCATATGTTTCTATATGTTCTAAAGATTCTTGAAATAGATCTGCTTCTCTCATCACTTGGTTCTGGTAGAGTATCAATTCACTATACTCATAATCTTATTATATTTGGTGGAATCTAGAAAAAAGGGAAAGAGGGACAAAATAATCAAATACACAAAATAAAGGTTAACCTACCAATAGCTAAAATTATGACTTCTTTATTTAATTGGAGCAGTCTTGTGATGGAACTGTGATTCTTATCAGTGTGAGTACTCCTACCACCAACACACATCAAGACCCTCCCAAGTAAAGAAGCCAAGGTAGCAGAGCTTGAAAATTTAAGAAAGGGCACAGAGCAAATATATTTTATGCTTGTCATTTGTTAATTTGTTTAGTTTCACTTTTTAAATACTAAGCACTTATCTAATGTTCTGTAACTTATTTTGTATACTTTTATTAATTTATATGTTATAAATTTATATTGTAGATTAACTTTTTTGGCAAAGTTATTAAATTTATAATAAAAAATTCCCCCCAAATGATCAGATTTCTTCTTTTTTATGTTGCTTAGTTATTACCACATTTCTAACACCTAAAGACTCTTTTTATCTTTTTCAAGAGAATATTCATGAATTAAAAAGCATAGGGCTTCTTCACAAACTACTCAGCAGTCCTTGCTTGATCCAAAACCTTATTTTCCATAAATTTTCACAGGGCTCTCTTCCACAACAAAACCTCTAAGAATCTAAGTATACATTGACTTAATTTGGAGCATCTTCTTAAGTTCTCCCTGCAACTTCTTTGCTCCATTATTCTTTGCAAAGAATTTTATTTATAAGCTGATCTTTGTAGCCCATCAAACTACATTTCCTTTGCTGCCTTTAGGCACACAATAAAACAACACAACCCCCCTTTGTTTACCTCCCTGTGAAACTAAAAACTATCCCTTAATTTGTTTGAGATTTCTTTAGTTGATTTCATTTACAGCAAGAATATTAATTTGCTTGGGTTCCTCCAATAATAGTCAGCTTGTTTGTGATTAACCCAAAGTCACACATTCTCAATAACATAGTTAAATTAATGTTTGTAGACAGTATATAAATTGAGTTTTACCACCTTCTGCCTCCTTTTCTGCTATGGTAACTGAAAAAGCATAAGAGTAGTGTATAGTACTAAGGGGAATTTAGGATTTTTTTCATCTATTTAATTGATTTCCAAAGTTAAAAAAAAATGACCTGGTAACCAACCTCCTGATGTCTACCTTTTTCAAGGTAGAGGACTAAACTAGTCCTCAACCAGACCAAATCTGTTCTCTACTGGCCCATACTCATAGCCCTCTCAGTTGGGTCAGACCTACCAAAAACTGCACTCTACTGGCACAGTCCTCAGAAAACTATAGGTCATCTTCACATATGATGAGGTATTAGAATAGCTCTTTAATAAAGGAAGTTTTAGTAACATTACACTTTTTTTTTCCAAATGTCTAACATACTTGCCAATGGTTAGGTAAATAGAAAATCAGCTCTGTGAGGGTAGGCTAAGACTGTTTTAATTGTCTTTGCAACCTCTATGTTAATAAGCATACTGATTTACAGTAGGCATTTCACAAACATTTGAAATTAATTAGGTTCACTATCACGTACAAATACAAATATAATTAAAAATAGGGATAAGAATTCATTCTTCAAAAACAGGCCTCTTCCTCCAAAAAACTTCTAAAAGCTAAACTTAAATGCCAAATAGCAGCAATTCAATGAGTTAGCAAGCATTTATTAAGCATTTATTATGTGCCAGTCCATTGACTACTGTGTTAATATGGTTAAATTTGATTTGATTTACTTTCACCAATAAGACAATTAAAAAACTAAGAAAAATCCTCCCTTTCCTTGAGGCAAAAAGAAAGCCTACATGTGGGTAAGGACCTCTGAAGGGCCACAAAGCTTTTATAGAACTATCACTAAGCATAACCAAACTTTTGTCATTCATTTAACTCCAAAAATAGCTGCACTGTATTCAGTATAAGGGAACATACCCTTTGCAGACTGTACATGTCTCCCACATATAATATTTTTCAAATGAATGTACATGTTATCATGACGAATAAAATACAAATTCATAGTAGCTTTTAGTCCTCATATTTTCCTCAATTGACAGACACCAATAGTACAGAATTACTTTCATGTGCCCATGTGTATGAAAATTTTTTTCAAGTTAAAAAATAAAGCATACACTTGGAAATAGCTGGAAATCATAGAACTAGACCTTTTGCACATAAAAAGCAAAATTATATTTAAGCTATCCCTATGTCTTCTATATAGGAATATTTCAATCAAAAAAGTCAATCATTTGGTTAATAGAATTAACCATTATTAAGAAAGGCTATCTTTAAGCAAACATATTAAAGTATAAACAAACTCACAAACTATCAGACTTATGATAATACATGCCCTATTATTTAGTAAAGCTATCTAATTTTCCTCCCTCCTCCCAACTGTTTTCAAACTATTGTTGGGGAAGTCTTGAAATAAGTCTTACTTGCTGAGTCTTTCTAAACTCTTCCAATAGTTTTTGTGCCATATCATAATCTTTCAGCAAATGATATGCTATAGCATATCCAATCCATGAAGCATTGTTGGGCACAGCTGAAGAAGCTGATACCTTGTCTCCTTTAATACAGAGTGGGGGGAGGGGGGTGTGGAGAAATGACAGAATTTTAGAATGAAAGGAACCTTAACCATCACAGACATGAGAGGCTTCAATTTACAGAAAAGGAATCTGAGAACAAATAGGGTCACATGATTTGTCCTATCTTTTTTTAACTCAATATAAAACAGCTGACCTCATGATTATAATAATTCCCTAAATTACTAAATTTTACATTTAGCTTATATTTCTACTAAACTTAGGAGTCCATGTCTTTTTAAGTAAAATTATTTTCTAATAAGGATCATTTTAATACTTCAACTAAAACATTGGTATTTGTCCTATATGTTAAAATAAAGTTCTTAGGCCCACAAAACTTTCAGTAAACTTTCAGATTTTTCCCCTCACTTTTCACTGTTAGCGTTGATACTGATTTCTTATACTGAACTCTCTTCACACACTATGATACTGAGATTCTGGTTGCTAGTTAGTCTAGTATTCCACAGCTTAATGATAGTTTTCAACCATATTAACATGATCACATAAATTTATGTAAACTATAAATATAATTTCTAGGCTTGAAAGAAATTGAGGTATGGTTAAAAATGAGAGGAAAAAAAAACTGAAAATACACTAGTAAGATACACCACTACTGACACTGGAAACTACAGGCAAAAATCTCAAAATCTGACAAATTTCTATGGGCCTAAAGATTTTCATTTTTTGAAGCTAACATTAGCAAAGATGCATTGGAAAGCTACCCCTGGAGCCATGAGGAACTCAGTTCAGATCTCACATCTGACATATACTGACTATGCGACCTTAGCTAAGTAGCTTAATCAAGTAAGACAAATCTCTTAAGTTTCCATTCTGCTGAACAAATGCCCATCTGTTGTGGGAGTTTCTTTACAAAACATTCCCTTCTCTTATGAAATCACAGATACAGTCGTGACTCTCCTGCCTTCCCCCCTGAAACACTATAAGCTAGTGTATGGAGATGAGAGTTTTGGGGATCTGGACCTGTGATTACATGAATTTTACGTGTGTGCATAAATAGCTTATTTCTTGTTTATAGTCTCAGAGAACTGACTGGTCCATGGTCACCAGTTACCCTGTGACAAAGGTAAGACTTTACCCCAGATCTTCCTGACTCCAAGGGCAGCCCACCAAAAGGTGCTTGTCAGTATTATGAATACATAAATCCATAGAAAGTAAGCTCAAAGAACCTCAGAGTTGGAATAGACCTCAGAAGTCATCTAATCCAAGTGATACCTGAACAAAAATACCTTCTCCAACAAGTAAGAAGTCACCCAGACTTTGCTTAAAGGTCTTCAGTGAAGGACTCTTTCTCACACAAGGCAACCCATTAAATTGCTGGACAACCTCAACTGTTAGAAGTTCTCTCCTTTACACCACATGAAAATCTGTCTCTTTACCTCTTCCACCCAACGTTCCCGGTTTTGGCCTGTGGGTGCAAACAGAACCAGCCTAACTCTTCTTCCACATGAGAGTCCACCAAATAATTAAGACTAGAGTCTTCTCTTCTCTAAACATTCCTAGTCCCTTCAATTATCTAAAAGGTCAAGTATGACCTGTCATACTTGCCTGTCATTTTGCCTGAGACTTGCCTGTCATTTTGCTCAAGAAGCTTCAAGGGCTACTCATTGCTGTTAGGATAAAATACAATCAATGGCATTATCTTAGTCATCAACATACCAACAAAAAAATTTATCAAATTATTTTTCTTCTTTTTATACTTTAATTGTAAATGTTAAGAGACAGCATAGCAGAGTGGAGAGAAAGCCAATTTCAGAATAAGGATGACCTGAGTTCAAGACTTGCCTCTGACACATATATACTGGGTATGTGCTCCCTGGCAAGTGAAAAGGAAAGTATTGATTACTTTGATTTATTTTTAGTTTGATTATAGGATTAAACTCTTTTCTTTAGGAAAAGTTAGCCCTAACAGCTAAGCCAGACTAACAAAGATAGTGCCCTCTTAAGTCTAGGTTACCTATGGATTTAGTGAATAGATTGAGAAGACTTAATCATTAAGTAGCAGATAATTTAGAATAAGAATAATAAAATAATCATGGGATTACTCTTTTTAAAGGTTAAATTCCCCTTTCTAGTTTCTAGCAGAAAGGAAGGTTGAACAAAGGTGAGGTTCCCCTTTCTGGAAGCTGGAGAAAGGTTAGGTAAAAGTTAAATTCCTTTTTTCTAGTCCTAGTGAATAACCCTCTTTTTTTTTCCTTGAGCTAGAGTCTAAGTTGAGTAATGAAATCTTCTAAGGAAAATGGAGGTGGTGGGGAGGGAGACTGACTGCTAACTATGACCAGAAGTTCCTCTTTCCCAGTATACCTTCTAGTTACAAAAGACACCATCTGTAAGGAATGGACTTCTGGGTAGGATTAAGAAAGCCTGGGAGAAGTTAACTAGTCAGATGACCCGCCTTGTCCAATTGAATTATGTTCAAGACAAGTTTCTATCATTTTTTTAACTCCTCTTTTCTGTTATAAAAATCACTTCTGTAAATCATTCCTAGTCTCTGATTTCTGAGGAGTCAGGTAACCTAATCTGATATACAAATGGTAGCTTTGTAAATTAAATCATAGATGGCTTAGTAACTTTGTCCTCACTTTCCTTTTTATTTCAAATAATTAATTTTAACACAGGTCACTTAGAGTCAACATCTGAGGCAGCTCTCTAAATACAAAAGTTGCAGAACAGGTGTCAATTTGTATTATTAGTGAAGAGTACCAATGAAATCACAGCCCACTCCCCCCAAAATTTAATTCACATAAACTTGTAAAATACAAAACTGAGCCTGGGTCAAAGGACATTATGTCATTAACTCAAAGTACAAACAAATAACAGATGGATGTTTTTTTAATTCCCCCAGTTTCAGTTTCAAAAACTAATGATTAAATTTCAAAGATGACTAATGATAAGGTTTAAAAAAAGCTAGAGATGTATTGTCTATTAATTTATTTCTTGTTTAATCCTTCTCGAAATTATTTTATTCACCTCTGAGGTACATTACACATCACATAATAGACACTGAATAAGTATTTGGGGAATGAATGAATACTCTAGCCTCACTCATAATTTGGAAATAAGGACTAGAGCCATGATTTAATTGCCACTAGGGAACTCTCAAGTAAGAAAACTCTTTCAACCAATGCAAGTTAGCATTTCTCTGTAACTTACATTCAAATAAAACTACCTAGAGCACTTATTCATCTTTTAAATTATATCTGTTTCGGGGCAGCTAGGTGGCGCAGTGGATAGAGCACCGGCCCTGAAGTCAGGAGGACCTCAGTTCAAATCCAGCCTCCGACCAAACACTTGACACATACTAGCTGTGTGACCTTGGACAAGTCACTTAACCCCGACTGCCTCACTAAAAAAAAAATAAAATAAATTATATCTGTTTTAAAATGCATAAATTTAATATTAGAATACTTACACGATAGCCTTCAAGGTCTCTGATTTGGATTTGTAACAAACAGAGATCTCTCAGGATTTGTAGATTGTCTTTATCTAATTTGAGGGCATTTTGATAACACTTTATAGCTTCATCATATTCTTATCATAACGCTGCAAAAGTCCATATATGTGCCAACCTAACAAGTTAAAGAAATCAACATTCACAGATACTAGAACACAATACTGTACTTTTCCTTCTAACATACCTCAGAAAGTTTTTTGTTTAAAACGAGGGCTTTCTAAATCAAAGTATACTAGGCATTTATTCTTCATCATAAGTATAAAACTAAGTCTCACGCTAAAAGTGACAATAATATTAAGATTTTTTAAATTTTTTAATATTTTGTTTTTCCCCAATTACATGTAAAAACAATTTTTAACATTTTTAAGTTTTGAGTTTCAAACTCTATCCCTCCTCTCTCCCCAGGATGTAACCTGATATAGGTCATACATGTGCAATCACATAAAACATTTCTTTATTAGTCATTTTATGGAAGAAGACTTGAGAAAGAAAAGAAAGAATGAGAAAGACAAAGAAATAAAGAGGAAGGGAAGGAAAGAAAGAAGGAAGGAAAAAAGGAAGAAAAGAGTATGCTTCAGTCTGTATTCAGACATCATGATGTTCTTTCTCTGGAGATGGATAGCATTTTTCATCATGAGTCCTTGCAGAGTGTCTTGGATCACTGTATTGCTGAGAATAGCTAGGTCATTCACAGTTGTTCATCGTATAATACTTCTATTGCTGTGCACAATGTTCTCCTGGTTCTGCTCACTTCATTCAGTATCAGTTCTTGTAAGTCATTCCAGGATTTTCTGAAATCATTCTGCTCATCATTTCTTACAACACAATAGTATTCCATCACAATCATATACCACAACTTGTCCAGCCATTCCCAATTGATGTATGTCCCCTCAATTTCCAATTCTTTGCCACCACAAAAAGAACTGCTATAAATATTCTTGTGCAAATAGGTTCTTTTCCTTTTTTTTTTTTAATTTCTTTGGACACAGACCTAGTACTGGTATTGCTGGATCAAAAGGTACACCCTTGGGGCATAGTTCCAAATTGCTCTCTAGAATGGCTGGACCAGTTCACAATTCTACCAACAATTCATTACTGTTCCAGTTTTCTCACATCACCTTCAACATTTATCATTTTCCTTTTCTGTTACATTAGTCAATCGGATGGGTATGAAGTGGCACCTCAGAGTTGTTTTAATTTGCATTTCTCTAATCAATAGTGATTTAGAGATTTTTTTATAATATTAAGTAATTTTAAAAATAATTTTATATTAATTCATCTGACCAAGAAAACTCTTTGTATACTGCATTCACTAAATTACTCTGACTAGTAACATGTACACAATATTAGGGTAAGCCCTCCAAGTCTCTTTTATTTATGACCAATTAAGGTTTTAGCATATCTTCAAGCAAAAAATTCATAATACTTACATGCCCTCTTCATTCTGCAGAGAGCACTTAACTAAAGAAGTATTTAAACATATGGTTACCAGAGAGCTCCATTTGATAATATTTGATAATATGACTACTGGGAAGACATATTAACTGATACAGACTAAAGTTACCAGAACTAAGAAAACATTACATGTGATGATGACAATATAAATGCAAAGAACAATTCCTTCCCTACCCCAATCAAAACAAAGCTGTAATTACAATGATCAAGTTGGTCCCTACAGAAGAGATATAAGAATGCATTTTCCTATCTTGTTTGAGGAGATAGTGATTCTATGAATGTGAAATGTTACATACACTGTCAGACTTCATTCATGTTTAGTATTTCTGAACTTTTTTCTCTTTTATTCTTTGTTATAAAGGGAGGACTCTCAGGGTGAGATGAAGAAGATACGTTGGGAAATAAAGGTGATATGAAAACAAAAGAAGTAGATTTTTTTAAAAAAAATACTGCTAAACCTAATAATATTAAATTAGGGTCAGACAAGCTTTTTCATAAGAATACAAAGCCCATGTAAAAAGTTAAGACAAGGGAAATTTTTAAAAAGATTTTATGAATGTTCATGTATTAGAATGCTGACATTAAGTCAAAACAAATTTATATTATCCAGTCTGAAAAGTATTTTATAGGATTTAGAGCTAGACCTTGAAGTTAAACAGGTATAACTCCTCCAGAACTTTATAGATGAGAAAAGTTGAGGCCCAGAATAAATGAATGAATAAAAAAAAAAGTATTTATTAAGTGATTACTATGTGCCAAATAGCACGCTAAGTACTGGGGATACAAAGAGAAAAATCAAGACGTCCCTGCTATCAACCACGAGAGACAACACATCAAAGAAAGTCTAGTAACAGGCAAATAGAGAGGCCCATTATTCTTAAATATTCCACAACAGGGCAAATAGCAAGACCCTGACATCAGATGACAATCCTAGGAAGCTGAAAGAGGGAAGAGTAGGACAGACAGTAAGATCTACTGTTCCTCCACCTCACCAGATGAAAAACAGTTGGAGACTCTCATCTCATCTAAGCTATATAAATGGTCAAGTAGCCCAGATGTGTTCTAGGCAGCCCAGCATCAGGGGAGAGCATAAAGGGAAGACATGAGGGACGGAAGCCCTCAGAGAGATGACTTGTTCAAGTTATACAAATTAATTTTAATAAACATTATTTACAAGAGAAAAATATAATTGTAAGGAAGGCCCCAATCAGGTTATTAAAAGCACATCCCCATCCAAAAGAAATTAAGTTGAAATAGCTATATCAATAATTTGCAATTTTCAAAATAAATTAATCAAAAAAAATAATGTGCAATTAACTAAAATCTGATTTAATTAAGCTTTCCTCTAAACTTTTTAGCCTTATAATGTGCAGGAGATTCTATTTAACTATACACTTAAGTAATCAAAGCTCAACATGCACACTTAATACATTTCATTTTGTATTATAGTTACATATTAAGTGTATTTTACCTTTCCACTCTACACTACAAGATCCTTTCAGCCAAGGACACCTAAGTTGAGCCTTAAAGGCAAAGGATTTTAGCACAGTAAAAATAGTTAAAAACTGGAGAATAAGGACTTTATCAATTGGAAATAGATGAATAAATAGGTGTATTTGAATAGAATGGGATATAATGAACTGTACCAAATTAGCAACTCAAGAAAAACATGGAAAGACTCGCATAAAATGATGCAAAGAGAAACAAGCTAAACCAGGAAAACAATATAGCACTGACTATTAGAATGTAATCAAAAAGCAACCAAAAAAGCAAGAGAACTAAGATTAAAGGCAATGATCAATACTGGTTTCAAATGAAAGTTGAAGAAACACATCTCCCTTGTCTTCATAGGAAAACAGGAGGCTATAGTTTCCAAATATTTATGTTAGGAGATACAGGTAGTGTATGGACTGGTTTTAACTGTTTTTCTTTGGGGAAAGGAAGGGTTCCAAACAGAAGTAAAAAATAGATATAAACAAATATCTCATATAAGAAACAACAGGTGTCAATAAAACAGAAGATAGAGAGGGAGAAGGGGAAATACATTGCAACCACTAACTATTCCCATCTGTGAATTATTCCAAAGCTGTCCGATGGCTTTAGAGTATGAGATGCAAGCCATAGATGAGCCCAAATGTTAGAGTGGAAATAGTTCTGGATTTATAGCCAGAAACCTCAACCTCCAATTCCACCTCTGTCACATAGAACCTGTGTGATCTTGGACAATTCATTTAATCTCTATGAAATCCAGTGTCTTCATTTGTAAAATAAAGGATAGTACCATATGACCTCTAAGGTCCCTTCTAACTCAAAATCTATGACCTTGTCTTGTTCATAGTGATAATTCTATTAATACCTACCACGATACTTTTTGCCCATAAATGTTTAATAAGTGTTTGAATTATAATGTTCACCCCAGTGTGGGAAGGGTACCAATTTCATTAATTTCATATTCTAACAATTCTTGATTTCATTATTCTGATAGAGATGATAAAATGCAACATAACAAATAAAAATTAAACTACTAAACTCTTCAAAAGGATACAGACATGGCTCTTGACATCATTCCAAAGTCCTTTATGAACAAATTCATATGCTTCTTCTTTCTTTCCTAAACAGTTCAATGTCAACCCTTTCATAGCCAAGGTCCCTGCAAAAAACACGGTAAACCTATATACTTATACGTAAGAGTTTCAAAAATCCCTGCCTAAGTTGAAATTCAACCCTGGGATCTTTTAAGATTACAAATCGATCTTCATGGAATCACTTCCAGGTGAAACTGCACCTTGGAGCAATGCCTAAAAATCGGTTCTTACAACTGACAAGTATCTTTTCCTTTTTTAGCTAAACAAAACACTTATAATACAATAGTGGGCAAAGTGTATGTAACACTTAAGAACTAACAGATATAACCAAAGGAGATATTCCAAAGCCTTCTTTTACTGACCTTGATTTGCCCAGTGTTCAAAAAGAACTTCTTTTCCAAAAGTCAGTAGCCTAATTCTACTCCCACTGTTAATGCAGGGGGTTTCCTAAACCTCAAGACAGTCTAGATTCTTTTCTGTAATTGTCTTCCCCACCAATATGTCCTCTTCCCTTTAAGAGCCTCCATACCCTTGTGTTTTGGGTCAAGTTCAAAATAGAAATTAAATACTTACTGTGAATTGAATCTAATTGAGGAGCTTCCAAATTTTTTCACCCAAAACCTTAAGCTGTAATGAACTAAAATCTTATCATTTCCTAAACTTATGTCCCACATGAGGTAAATAAGAGTTTAGCAGGAATATTTTGATTCTAATGATATTTTTCTCTTCTTAGTTAATATGAAATTAAAAATAATTACATAAAACAATTTCAAAGTTAAAGGAGTTAATTTTTTCTAATTTGTTTCAAACTTTCTGGATCTACCATTCCCTTATCCTGCAAGTAACTCCATGCTAACAGAAGAGCATATTTCAAACACAAAAGTGATCTTGAGGCAAATTAGCTCAAGAAACACTGACCTCTGAAAGTAGGTTTCAATTTAAAAAATAAGATAAAATTGTCAACTCAATTACCCAGAGGTATGAAAAGATATCGTTATTTCAAAATTACTTATTTGGAACTAGAATGGACCACTTTTTCTTCAGTAAATCCAACCTAACAGGCATTTTCTATTTAGGATAATTAACAAAAAGTTGATAATTCCAAGTCAAACACTGGAATAGAAGAGAAGTAACCTGGTAGCATGCTGAGAAATTAAGGGGAAGACAGTATAGGATTCAAATCTTTCATCTACTAAATCCAAAAAGCAAATAAACTGATTATAAACCTCTTCGTGATGGAGTAGAAAGACAACACTAGGAAACAAGAGATCTAAGTTCTTCTGCTAGTCTTGCTGAAGTCATTTAGACTCTTTTCTATGAAATGGTGGGATTCAAGTTAAGTCTTCAGTCCCTTCTATCTTTTACGGTTCTATAAACTTCAGTTTCTTTAATTACAAAATGCCCTACTTTCTTCACAGAAAGAGGTGTTATGAAAATCAAATGAGAAAATGCTCCTGAAAATAGCTCTGTAAAACATTACATATGTCGTATGGATGAGGTATTATATATGATTAAGATCCCTTTTTATCTCTAAAACTCCTTGAAATGGCATCTCTACTTTTGTAGATAGTCCACTGTATCCTTAGAGCTAGACAGTTCTGATCCTCATGCAGGTCCATGAACATTTGTTATGGTCTACATCTCCAACCACTGTTTTTAACCCAACCCTCAACGCCACCATTTCAAAAATACGTGTCACTGGTTATAATGGGTTGTAGATGAATTAGCAAAAAACATCACATTACTTAAAAAAGTAACTCGGAAAACAACTTGGTCAAAACTACCATCATAAGAGTATGAAAGACAACATATAGACACATATCATGGCTCCTAGCCTACTGTCCTTTCCAATAAGCCAAACCACTACTATAAGTGAATCAAGATCAGTGTAACATAACCCGAGTTTAACATAAGAAAAATTATCTAAAATAAGCTTAAATAATTTTCACATCAAAGAGCCTCAGTCTTGCTTTTAAAATGAAACCAAGGCATTGAATATTAGGAAGCATTCTTCCTTGAAATTCAGCAATATGTCCCAGCTTCAGTGCTTCTCAAATTAGCTTTATTTTTCCATAGCAATTTAATCTTTTAAATGATACAATACCTCCATGTTCAGCAAACTTTGGGTTTGACAGACTCACCTTGCAGAATTTGAGACCATTTTTGTACTGCTTCTGTTCATAACATTTCTGGCAAGAAAAAATTAACAGATGAAAGATTATTTTATAAAATAAATGATTATTAGCAAGGTCAAGCTTTTTTCAAATAATTAACAATTTGCATTTCCTGTTTTTCAATACTATCCATATCTTTTGACCATTTATTCATTATGAACTAGGAGTTATCACAGAAATGCAATGGAAAAAGTCTTCTTTTCTTTCTCTTTTGCTTTCTTTCGTTATTACATATAATGCTACTATGAGATCTTTTTTTCATTTTAGGTTACATTTTAGGGCCCCTAACAATGTAATCTAAAATGAAAAAAGATCTCATAATAGCATTATATGTAATAACAAAAGAAAGAGAAAGAAAAGAAGAAAAAGTACATAATCTAACCAACAATATAGGAATGGTTAGTTTGGGTACATTAATACAAAGAAATTCATGAAGACTTCTATTAAATAATGTAAAGTGGAAGAAAACGAGCAGAACCAGAACAACAGTGCAAAAACTACAATCATATGAGGAAAAAGTAAATAAGGAGAAAAAATCCTAACAGGAACTGGAACTGAAAGAGTATTATGATACATATCACAGAAAAAATTTTCAGGCTATTCACCCCACCTTATCTGCATCTCAAAACTCCTTAACATCATTCTTCCCATTTTCTCCTCCTTTCTCTGGTCTCTAATGAAGCTAATTAGCCTACATCCTTAACCAAGGAGAATGATTGCAAAGGCAAATGTACATATGTATCTAGATCCTTTATGATCCAATGTTCTCCAACAGATTACCCCTAATTCTCCCACTTCTTAAATGCCAACCACGATAGCTTCTTATCAGTCTTCATACTTCCTAATCTCCCTACAGTATTTGACATTGTCGACCACCCTACCTGCCCCTCCTATCAACTGTCTCTTCAATCACCTTTGTTACATCATCTTTAATATAACGCCCCCTAATGGTGAGTGTACAGGGAGAGAGAGAAATGGAGAATTAGGATAGGGTAAATCACCTCACATAAAAGAGGCATGAAAAAGCTTTTACAGTGGAGGGGAAGAGAGAGGAGGTATGGGGGAGTGAGTGAAACTTGTTTCCATCAGAATTAGCTCAAAGAGGGAATAACACACATTCAATTGGGTATAGAAATCTATCTTATCCTACAAGAAAGTAGGAGAGGAAGGGTTTGCTAAAAGAAGGGATGGGGTGATAGAAGGGAGGGCAGATTGGGGGAGTAGTCAAAAAGAAAACACTTGAGGAGGACAAGGTAAAAGGAGAGAGAGAATAGAATAAACAGGAGGGAATAGGATGGAGGGGAATACATTTAGCAACAATACTTATGAAAAAAAATTTTGAAGCAGGTTTCTCTGGTAAGGGCCTCATTCTCAAATATGTAGAGAACTGAGTCAAATTTATAAAAATAAAAGCCATTCCACAATTAATAAATGATCAAAAGATATAAGTTTTCAGATGAAGTAATCAAAGCTATCTATAACCATATGAAAAAATTCTTTAATTCACTACTGATTGGAGAAATGCAAATTAAAACAATTCTAAGGAACTACCTCATACCTATTAGATTCGCTAAATAGGACAAAAAAGGAGAACAACAAATGTTAGAGGGAACACGGGAAAAATGACACATTGATGCACCGTTGGTGGAGTTGTGAGCTGATTCAACCATTCTGTAGAGTAATTTGGAAATATGCCCAAAGGGCTATAAAACCAAGCATACCCTTTAATCTAGCAAATTCTGCCGCAGTGTCTATATCCTAAAAGAGATTTTAAAAAAAAAAGGAAAAGGACCTATATGTACAAAAAGATTTATAGCAGCTCTCTTCTGGTGGCAAAAAATTGGAAATTCAGAGGGTGCCCATCAATTGGGGAATGGCTGAACAAATTATGTTATGTGATTATGATGGAATACTATTGGGCTATAAGAAATGATGAGCAGGATGCTCTGAGAAAAAACCTGGAAAGACTGACATGAGCTGATGCAAAGTGAAATGTACTGTGTACAAAGTAACAGCAATATTGTGTGATAGTCGGCTATTGACTATTCTCAGCAATACAATGATCCAAGACAACTCTGAAGGAATTATGACCAAAAAAAAATGCTATCCATCCCCAGAGAGAAAACTGACGCTGTCTAAATACAAATTGAAAGATACTTTTTTTATTTTATTTTTCTTGAGGGTTTTTTTTTTTGGTCTATGTTTTCTTTCATAACATGACTATTATGGAAACGGTTTGCATGACTATACAACCTATGTCAAACTGTATGGGGGGGGAGGGAGGAAGGGAGAGAATTTGGAACTCAAAATTTTGAAAACAAATGTTAAAAACTGTTTTTACATGTAACTGGGGGAAAAATAATTTTTTAAAAGAATGGATAAAAATACCCAACAATTTAGTACAAACAAGAAACACATTTGAAACATAAGTACATACATAGTCAAAGTAAAGAATCCAAACATAACTCATTATGCTTTACATAACTCCAAAAAGGCAGGAACTACAATCATGAGTTCTGATGAGACATTGTAAACTGGTAACATTAAGAGAGATAAACAGGAAAATTATATTATGTTTCAAGGAATTATTTACAATGAAATAGAAGTATTAATATGTACAAACTAGTGTAACTTCTGAAAAGGAATATCTAATTGAACTTCAAAGACATGACAGTAAGAATAAATATGAAAGACTTAAATATTTCACTAAAAGAGCTAACAAAGATTAATGAAAAGGAAAATGAGAACATGAACAGAATCATGAAAATAATAAAATGTGAAAGACTTCTAGCAATTTCTGAATACCAATTATGTTTGCTATCTTTACAAAAATCAAGGCATAAAAAAATCTTAAACATAAAAATTGTAAACACATTTTAGATCACAATACAGTAAAAATATAAATAAAATTTTTAAAAGTTAGAGCTGAACATAAACTAAGTAGTGACATCCTAAACAACGAGTGGATTAAAGAACAAATCATAAAAACTAGAACTATTCAAAAGAGGATAACAACAACAAATTAAAATTTATATGATGCAATTAGAGCTATCTTCAGAGGAAAATTATCATCTCTGAAAATATATTAGTAAAATACAAAGGGAGTGAAATGAGCTGAGGATGCAATTTAAGAACCAAGATCAACAAATGAATAAGCACAAAAGAAAATTTAAAAGAAAAATGATATTAAAAATAAAAGGACCATGATAAAATAAATAGAAGAGAGGCTTCCCTTTGGGGGGGGGGGTAGAGAAATAAAACAAAAAACAAAATCCGCAATCATGCCAACGTGCTTTTAAAAGGAGAAAAATTGCAAAGAGGAGACAAACTATTATTTATTGATGACATGTCGACACAGAAAATCCCAAAGAATCAGTAAAGACACTAATTCAAATTAGTAGTATCATCAAAGCAGCAGGTTACAAAATAAAAGATCAATAGAATTTCTATAGAATGATAATAAAACCCAGGAGGAAATCACAGAAAAAGGGGCTACATTTAAAATAACTATATACATATATATCTAGTTGTTAATCTATCAAGGCACACCTAAAACCTATAAATATAGAACTACAAAACACTTAACTATAGCTAGGTCCTAATTAGTGTGAATAATCAATCTGATGGGGTTGGAATCTGGGCCCCAGAAAGGAAAAACCCTGTACTTTCCCACATGGCCAAATATCTGGCATTCCCCTGAGGCTATAATCCCATCAACTGGCTTTTCATTGTGGCTACACCCAATATCCCCTCCATTGTCTTACCTCCCTAAGGCCCCCATATTTACCACCCTGAATCCTAGCTAGGGTCCATTCTCCCTTGGCCAGGAGGTCCAGGTCCCAGGAGTTCTGTTCACCCCAGCTTACAAGCCACTCCCATCCAAATATCCTTAGGCCCTTCCTCCCGTCACCCCAAACTACTTGGTCACTCCTAAATCCCTCCCACAGTCTTTCTGTCTATAAGGTCCATCTTGTCTCCATTAAAATGCTCAGATTCCTTAAGAGTCTAGCCAATATGGTGAATCTTCAAATAAACCTTGTTTTTGGCTGCAAGGCTTGGGTTGGGGCAGCTAGGTGGTACAGTGGATAGAGCACCAGCCCTTTAGTCAGGAGGACCTGAGTTCAAATATGACCTCAGACCAAACACTTGTCACTTACTAGCTGTGTGATCCCGGGCAAGTCACTTAACCCCAACTGCCTTAAAAAAGAAAAAAAAAGGCTCAACAAAATGAAAAAAAAAAAAAAAAAAAAAGAAGGCGCCTTGGGTCAAATTCTTTCGGGAGGAAATGGCCGGGGGCATTTTAAGTCCTACACATCCTGGCCCCACCCAATCTTTCCAACCTTATCACAATTGTTACTCTTTATGCTCCCCACTATTTCTGCTATTCTGCTTTCTATCCACTATCTCCATGCTTTACATTGGTTGTCTCCAATGCCTGCTCACCTTCTCTTGGAATCCCTAGTTTCCTTGAAGAACTAGCTTAGTCATCACCCTCTCACCAACCCTAGATTTTCATCCCCTCAGCTGCTCCTTCCCTCCCCTCTTCAAATCATTTTGTATCTATTTTGTGTGCACCTACTTATGTACATGTTGTTACATTAGAAATGTAAATTCCTTCAGGTCACAGACTGTTTCACTTTTGTCTTTGTATCCCCTTAGCATGGAGACATATATAGAAAGTAATGTATTCTGCATTCTCAATGACAGGTACTCTGAGAAGGGAACAACCAACATTTCCCAAAATCAATTTGGAGATAAAGGAAACACCATTAAATTTAATAACCTCTAATTTCAAAACTTCAAAGAGCAGTGACTTCAGTATAGGTACTTCTTCCACAAACATTGGTGCAAAGTCAAATAGACAGGTATTTTATTAAGCATCTACTATGTGTCAAGCACTGTGCTAAGTGCTGAAAATACAAAGAAAGGCAAAAACAGTCCTAACCCTCAAGGAGTTCACATGGACGTTAAGAACTATGTACAAAATATATATATATATACAGAATAAAAAAGGAGCTAATCTCAGAGGGAAAGTACTTTACACCTCAGTGTAGTCTCCCTAAGTTTTCTATGGTCACAGAATCATAGATTTAGAACTGTAACTGACCACAGAAGCCACCTAAAAGTGAGCCAGTTGGTAAGCCAAACCCCCTAGGAACTTGGCTAAGATTGTCTTCTACCAAAAACAAACAAACAAACAAAAAACCTTCTCACTAAAGCCTTTTTAGATTGGTAGGACCTGTAGGGGTCCAAATTCTCTAGTATAGGTTTTTTGAGAATCCAGAGACACCTCCTCAACAAAACAAAAAGTATCACTTTCTTTATGCATGTAATGTCTGTCTTTATGCTGATCATACCAAATTTTTTCTGTCCAGAAAAAGGCAATATAATGAGAAGAAAAGCTTTTAGTCATTTTTAAGGCATATTGCCAAATGCTCTTAAATTAAACAACCTTAATAGTATTTCACAAAACAGCTTTAATGTTTTCTGGCCAAAAGTGAAAAATCTGAAAAAGAATAAAAATGCAGTTTGCCCAACTCCATCCCCTGAAATGAGATGATGCTACAATGAACATATTGTCTCATTTCACCAATGAAACTATTGTTCCTGAAAGTGAACCACAATGCTTGTACTGAAGATTATAAAATGTCTTTTACCTTACAGAGTAAATACCTGTCCTTATTTGTTAATTCTGAAAAATGCGGCATAATGGGTGACACTTTAAAAGTCATGTTATGTGTATATTTTAGTATTCAAGAAACAAAGTGTAAAGGCTAGCTTAGTTTAAAACCCGGAGCAACAACTCTGAGTTTTTCTCTGCCTATGATTCATTCTTTTAACGGTTCTAAAATTAGTACTTTATTTACAGCAAAGAGGTGGTGGAACCTAGACAGCCCGTGAATAGCTTGAAAACAAGAAAGGCTAGTTTTAGCCAGAATTTTTATTTTTAAAGGAGCTAGACCTATCAACTCGCTCTCAACACTCGATAAAATTTGAGGGCTAGTAGTCCTAAATGTGAGACTTAAGGAGAGTCTTAGTGAGAAAACTAGATTTAAGACTGTTACACCTGCCTTCCACATCAGTAATAAAACTTGAAAACTGAGGAAGGCAAGCATCCATGCGAGGTTCGCTCCCTTCCTGTCACGACACTAGGTGTTATCGATCCCTATCAGGAGGGTTCCCCCACCTCTGCCCCAAACCAGCACCCCCGCAGCACGAGCGCATCTGCCCGGCTCCCCGTGTCCAGAAGAGTGAGGACCTAGAACTGAGCTCCCCGTAAATCCCTTTTCCGAACAAGTTGGTAAAAGGTGAGTTGTCTTCCAAAGGGGGCAGCAGCAAGCCTCAACTATGACTGCTTTTTCTTTAAGCCCTCCTCGGTACGTGTTTTCTAGGGGGCAGGGGGGCACTTGGCCAGCCACTTCTGCTGGTGGGCTCCACCATCAGTCCCAAGGCGTGCGTACGCGGAGCCGGACCCGAGACCCCGAAGCGCGAGGATCCGGGCGAGATCGGACGAGGAAGTGCGACGGGCAGGGTGGAGGATGCTCCCGGGGCGCCCACGGGCCCCCGGGGCCGGGCCGATCCCGGGGAGGAGGGGAGGCAGCGCCCCGCGCCCCCGCAGCGCCCTGGGGGCAGGGAAGCGCAGGCGAGGCCGGGGTGGCCGCGGACCGTGCCCCGCTCTCCGGGGCGGCTCCCGGCCACTCACCAGGATCTGTCTGAAGAGGTTACTCTCATTGGGCAGCAGCTGCACGGACGGCATGGCGGGGCCTGAGGGAGGCCGCGGCGAGGCCCCGGGGCTCCAGCTTCGGGGGCTCGCGCCCTGGGCGGCCGCCGAGGCTAAGGGAGCTCTCCTCGGACGCCCACCCGCCGGGCCAGCTCATCAGCCCCGGCTGTGGACGCGGCTCCAAGGTCAAGGCCGTGGGGGCGGGAGAAGAGGGGAGGAAGGACGGTCGGGGGTCGCAGAACTCTCTCGGACCGGCTCCCCTTACCGCCGCCGCGGCGGGGCTGGGGGCAGGGGCGGGGCGGAGGCTCTGCGCGAGGCAATGATAGCAGCCGGCGCTGCCCGCCCCCTTCCTAAACTCGCCGGAGTGCGCCTGCGCGCAGAGGATTGGGGCTAGGGGGCGGGGTTTCAGGGTGATCTAGAGAAGACCGGAAGAGGGCGCCCTGGAGCAGAATCCCCATTTGCTCCCTCCAGGCTTGGGCTACTTAAATAAGAATAGGAATCCTTACTTTCCCCGGGGGATTTCATTGGTTCTCAAAAGTGCAGACCAGGGTCCAAACTAGTTTCATAATATCATCAACCCAATATTGTTGATATATAGATAATATGGTCCAACAATACATAGATTGTAAAGTCCATTAACATCCTCCTCTCTTTTCCAGCTACATGTCTCTGTGAGGCTGGATTGTCTTTCTGTCCTTCAACCAAAGCAACTTGTCAGTCAGTCATTCAGTCAGTCAACAAGCATATAATAAGTGCTTACTATGTGACAGGCACACAGATACAAGTATACAAATATTGTGACAGATTGAATGCAGAAGCAGAGAGGCAGATCTAGCTGCCATCTGTTAAATCAGATATTAAAGAGTTGCAAAAATATGTAAAATGATGCAACTCTTCTCATTAATTTTTGTTTTTGGAAAATAGAGTGATTTTTTCATTTTTTACAAATAAGTTAATTTATTTTAATGAATTGATTTTTTTTAATTTATCAGTTATAAAAGTATATTAAAAGTATGTAAAGTATATAAAAATTATCAGTTATAATAATACTGATGATATATAATATTGATAACCCAAATAAACAAAAGCTCTTTGAGGAAAGGGAGGGAGTTTCAATAACTTTTAAGAATGTAAAGGGGTCCTGAGACCAAAGTGTGAAACCCACCAGACGAGGGGACTCCGTACTGAGAAAAGTCCTTTTATGAAGGAAAGTCTTTCTACCAAGGTGAGTCAGCACTTTCTCTGAAATTAGAGAGATGACTAGAGCAGAGGTATCAAATATTCAACATCTTGCTGATTGCTGCCCTGCTGGAACCAAATGTAAGTGGGAAATATTTAAAAAATAAAAATAGAGTAAAACACAGATGACACTATAGCTTAAAACATAAGTCAGTATGCTGCCCAGATCCTTCTGTATGGATTAGTAGCCTACATTTCTATTTGAGTTTGATACCACTGGCCTACAGTACTGATAAGTTAAGTGACTTGCCTTGGAACATACATATAATGTCAGAGGTGGGAGGTGAAGCCCTATTTTCCCTGAAGTCTAACTATTACACCATGCGATGTCTGAGAATAACTGAAATTTATATATAGCACTTTAGAGTATGCAAGTACATTAGCTCATTTCACTCTCACAACTCTGTGAAGTATGTTTATTATCCCCATTTCACTGATGGGGAAATTGTGACTTACTAAGGATGGTTGACTTATTCATAGTCACACCTCATAAAGGTCACAAGGGGATTTGAACAGAGGTCTTCTTGACTCAATGTCCAGCATTCTATCTACTAGCTATTAAAATTCCTTGATTCTTAGAATCTAAGGTTCAGTCTAAGTAGCCAAGTAGCCTGTGACTAGATAGAGAGCTCAGGGCCTGGAGTCAGAAGACTTGAGTTCACATTTGTCTTTAGATACTAACTAGCTGTGTGACTCTGGGCAAGTAACTTAACCTCAGTCTTACTCAATTTCCTTATCTGTAAAAATGGGGATAATAATAGCACTGAGTTCCCAGCGTTGTTATAAGGATCAAATGAGATAATATTTGTAAAGTACTTTGCAAACCTTAAACCACTCTGTAAATGTGGTTTTTGTCCTATGGGACAATTATTTTTATTGTCCCATGTGGCAAAAGAATATGTTAGCCTTCCCCAGGAGAAGAAAGAGTGTTGCTGCTTTGGGGTTTCTATAGTACTTGTAATAAAAAACAAATTATCATTTAATTTTATGCTAACTTTGTAATCTAGCATCATTGGCCTTCTTTCAGACTTTGAACTCCAGCTCCCTGCTCTCTGGCTTTTCACTAGTTGTCCTCCTCACCTCCTCTTACTGGCTTCTTCTGTCTTCCTTCAAGACTCAGTTCAAATCCTATTCAGGGGAGGCTAGCCACCCCCTTCACTCTATCATCCCTTTGCTCAAATATTACCTTCTATGTACTCTGTATATATCTGTCACGCCAACAGTGTCTTTCAGACTGTATGTGAATCATACAGTAGATGGACAAGGACGACGTCTGTATGAAAGTTTTTATTACAGCACTGACCTAACTTAAATATGTATAATCTCTTCCCTGACCTGGGTGTATGCAAAGCTTTCCTACCTACCTCTTGGTACCAAATTCTAGCAGGAGTATTCCTCTACTTTCTTTCTGGTTGCTAACAGCAGAGAGAGCTCCATTCCCCCAAACGAAGTACACATAAACACACATTTATGGCAGTCGTCAGTGTCATTTGTGAGGAACTACATGGAGGCAAGAAATTGGGGCCTTATATTGCCATTTCTACAGCCAAACAAAGCCTACAATTAAAGAGTAAATAGAGGTCATACCTTAATGGCTATGGGTGGGTATAGTGGTGTCAGCTCTGGTGACAAATGACCAAAAAGTCACAGGGGTTTTGTAACCACTGTTAACTCCAATAATACCAAAGAGCTCACACAGGTTAAAACAAAAAGCTTTCTTTATTCCATTGTGGGAGGGACCCTAAACACGTATTGGGGCCTCCTCTATCTAGTAGAAGAGCAGGGCTAAATCTTGAATTACATGTTTGTGGCTAGACAAAGACTCAACAGTAGTGAGGCAAGGTTGTCCAGTGACAAAAAGTCCATCCATAGCCGGGCTTCATGTCTGGGCCTGTTGGTGCTTGCCTGAGCTCAGGGACCATCAGTTCTGTGATTTAGTTACAGAAGACTTCATCTGGAAGGTGAACGCAGAGGATTGTTGTTACGCCAAGCTCAGGGCACAGCTTGCTTGCTGGGCCTTAGCTCTAGAAAACAAGGTGTCTCCTAATAGTAAAAAGGGAGGAGTGGGGGGGGGGAGGAGCTAGGTGGCACAAGTGAACAGAGCAACGGCCCTGGAGTCAGGAGAACCTGAGCTCAATTCCAACCTCAGACACATAACACTTACTAGCTGTATGACTTTGGGCAAGTCACTTAACCCCAATTGCCTCGAAAAAAAAAAGAGGGAGAGAGAGAGGAGTAAAAAGAGAGGGGTGGTGTTGAAGTCTGACAGTAGATAGAACCCTGGATTTGTATATCCAACCATTTGTGGTTAAATCCTAGGCACTTTACTACTTTAGTAGCTATGTTGCTTCACAATTTTGATCATTCTGTTTTGAGGTTTTGAAGAGTAACCTTTGGCCAGGACAGCATGAAGACAGTAGAGGGATCATCCTTGGCCCCTCCAAGGAGAGGTGTTGCCACCACTCTCCTGGCCTTTGCTCTGGTCTGTCAGCAACCACAAGCAAGAACGAAAGGCTTTTAGACCCCAGAACTAGCTCTGAAAAAAAAAAAACACCTGATAGGAATGTAGGTCTCTCTTGGACAAAGGTCAGGGAAGATGAGGCTAGAGATGTCTGTTCTGTCTCCTTTGCATTTCCGCACAACTATAGCCCCTCACCATATGTGGTCCTTCTCTCCACTTGGGGCACCATAAATATTTTGGGGCTTTAGGGCTAGATTTTTTTTTTAAAGGTAGGACAATTTACTTTTTTTGTCCTGTGCAGTTTTCATTTAGATTTCTTGAAATGTAGCTCTGAAAAAACAATCTTTTTAAAAAAAGATGGTTTTAAAGGAATCACTGATTCTCTGTACCGGCCAATTGTGTTTCAAATGGAACTTCTTTAAACCCAGATCATTCTAGCTGTTATTGATTGGCCAATAATAGGTCCCAGCCCAAGCCTTACTTGCTCCTTGTTTGGCTTTGATGGGGTCAGAGTGAGTATAAATAGCAACCATTTCTGTTCTGGCCAGAAACTGAGGTTCTTCCCCTCCCACGTTGATTTTTTTTTTTTTGAATAGGCAAACTAGGCCATCTTTCGCTTAATTTCTTACCTATCATTAAATCACTGAATGGGTGTTGCCCAAGACAAACTGAGATCTGTGAAAGACCTTAGTTTAAAAAGGCCAAGGTCTCCCCCTGCATCCGGGGTCTGGGGTCATCTCCAGTCATCCTGACTTGGCACTAGACTCAGATAACTCTGGAGGAGAGAATGAGGCTGATCACTTTGCACAGCCCTGCCTCACTTAAATCCAATTAACTTGCGAGTCAAGACGTCACCCTCTGGATGTCATGGGTCCTCTTTGAGAGCCAAGGATGAGGAACAACAGCAATCTCATTTGAGACTCATGACAGCTTTGTAAGATGGGTGCTATTATTATCCTCATTTCACTATGGGGGGAATGACTGGCCCAGAGTCACATAATTAATAAGTATCTGAGACTAAATTTGAACCCAGGTTTTCCTGACTCTAGTCCAGGCCCAGCACTCTATCCGCCTGCACCACCAGCTGCTCCTGAGTGCACTATAAGCCCTCGTGTCCCCTACTGATCTCCAGTGATCCCAAATACAAACTTAAACATTTCCTGAAGTTGTTTTTCTCTGTCCTAAGAACAGCATTTTTTCCATTAAAAAGAATCTTAAATGCACTTAATACATGTCTGGGGCTATGCTAACACTGTAATAGAGATGGAGGGTTAAAATTTTGTCCAGTGCACTAAGGGAAAGGGAGAAAATTGGAACATAATTTGGAAAATCCTGGCGTCTGGGTCACTAGTTCTTTGTTGTAAAAACTGTGCAATTGAGTTTTTGAATTACACTGACTTCCCAAACAAGGCCCTATTTTATTTTATTTTATTTTTTCTTAAGATATAGTACAACAGTGTGGGACATAGCCAAAAAAGCACTGGAAGGAGCCGGCAACCCCGGGGTCCAGCCCTGGGGCGGAGGATGATCCCTCCACTGTCTTCATGCTGTCCTGGCCAAAGATCACTCTTCAAAACCTCAAAACAGAAGGATCAAAATTGTGAAGTAAAAAGTCCAGTGGTCCAGTCTGTACTGGAGTTCTCATTTGCAGTTCTTTCTGCATCAGTATTCTTGTGATATACAATCAGAATCCCCAAAGTGGTCTATACCGCCTAAGCCTTCCAGGGAATTAGTGTGCCTCAAAGGACCCATGGGGGATGCAGATACTGCCTCTAGAGTTCCTTTCTGGTGAAAGCACTCTCTGGCCTCTCCAGGGGGGAGAGGCGGGGAGAAACAACCCAACACTGCGAAGAGACTACAACTCCCGATAGGCAACGGGTCTTGCATCCGTCGACGGGCAACCAAGCCCCGCCTCCCAGGCTTCATGGAAGGGGCTGTCCAATGGCAGGGCTTCGTCCGCGGAGCCGGCGGGTTAGGCTGAGAGTTCCAGGCAGGGAGAAGACAGTTCTGGGAGAAGTCTGCTCGCTTCGAGCTGTAGCCGCGCGGAGGGAGCCGTGGCCTTTGGGGAAGAGGAATAAGCACCGGGGGCTATTGGAGAATGCCCGTCCATTCCCGCGGGGACAAGAAAGAGACGAGCCATCCCGATGAAATGGAGGTGGACTACGCCGAGAACGAGGGAAGCAGCTCGGAGGACGAGGACACCGAGAGCTCGTCGGTGTCCGAGGATGGGGACAGCTCAGACATGGATGATGAAGACTGTGAGAGAAGAAGAATGGAATGCTTAGATGAAATGTCGGACCTTGAGAAACAGTTCACAGACCTCAGAGATCAGCTTTATAAAGAACGGTTAAGTCAAGTGGATGCAAAGCTACGAGAAGTAATAGCTGGGAAGGCGCCAGAATATTTGGAACCCCTGGCAACTTTGCAAGAAAATACGCGAATCCGAACGAAGGTAGCAGGAATCTATAGGGAACTCTGCTTAGAATCAGCGACGAACAAATATGAATGTGAAATCCAAGCTTCTCGCCAGCACCGGGAGAGTGAAAAACTCTTGCTGTGTGATACTATACAGAGTGAACTAGAAGAGAAAATTAGAAGGCTGGAGGAAGATAGGCACAGCATTGACGTCACCTCAGAGCTGTGGCATGATGAGCTTCAGTCAAGGAAAAAAAGAAAGAATCCCTTCAGCCCAGACAGAAAGAAGCCAGTGGTTGTATCAGGCCCCTATATAGTTTACATGTTACAAGACCTAGACATTCTTGAAGATTGGACAACAATTAGAAAGGCAATGGCTACACTCGGTGCACATAGAATAAAGGCAGAACCACCTGTGAAGCTGGAAAAACACTTGCACAGTGCTAAGTCTGAAGAGGGAAGATTGTATTATGATGGTGAATGGTATATACGTGGACAAACGATATGTATTGATAAGAAAGATGAATGCCCCACAAGTGCCATAATTACAACAATTAACCATGATGAAGTTTGGTTTAAGAGGTCTGATGGAAGCAAATCTAAACTTTATATTTCCCAGCTTCAGAAAGGAAAATATTCAATAAAACATTCATAATCACTATCAGTTGTTAACTAAACCTACCTGTATTAGTGTTACCATGTGTGGTGTGCCATGGGAGTAAAAATATATTCAATAATTTTTACATTCTCATAACATTATGAGAGTATTCATATTTGTAGGTAGTATTATATACACTTAATATATATATATACATATACTTTTTTAATGCTGAGAAAAATGTAGTCATGATGACCAAGATATTTTACCTCTAAGTTGAGTCTAACACCTAGTATATGAAGAATGGCCTTCCAAAATATGGCAGATGTTTTATGACTAAACCTTTTTGTCTGGTTAAAAATTATGCAAATTTGGCTTTTCTTCAGTGTATTGTGTGGGGTTATAAAACCGCTACATTTTTTTCCTACAATTTATTTAGTTTTTCATGTCCATGTAACTCGTGTATTTGTAAATAAGCCTGATAAAACATGTAAATGGTTTGTAATAGGGTATATATTGTTAAATCAGAATCAGAACTATAATCACAAGCATGTGCACACACTTGTTGGGGGAGGTGGGAGTACTAATAGCTAATCTTGCATCAATGGCCTTACTTTAGTGTTTCTTTTCCTTAAATTAAGCTATTGGGTTAAAATTCCTAAAAGGAGCACTTGCCTAGACTACCAGCACTCCTTCCCCTTAATAGTGTAGCAGTGACATTTTTTCCCAGATTACATTTGATGTTAATTAGAAAAATTAGTGTCAAGGAAGAAAAACATTGCTTCTACCTGTACTATTTATGGCCTATGAAGGTCATGAATGCCTGGTATTTATGCTGCAGTATATAAGTGATAATCAATAACTGTCAGTATTGAGGCATATGCTGTATTTGTCTGGTCTGTTGCCTTTTTTGAAAGAGATTCTCAGTAAACTTTTTCAGTGATAAAAATATGCCTTTATGCTAATTCTATATTTAGTACCAAAGACAGTGAAATTTTTTTAGGTCCATGTCTTAAAAAGAATATTTTTTCCTTTAGCTTTAATTCCATTTTATGTGATTTAGAAAGTGTTGATTTTCTTCCCTTCAGTCATATTTAGATTTAACTTTCAAAGCCCCAGGAACAGTGAACAAAGTCAGAACCCTAAATATGACAGCACACTTTTTGTGGCTGTAGTATAAATGATGTGACTAAAATTAGTATTCTTGTGGTTTCTCTGCACTTTACTTTTTCTTATAGTGAGACTTGAGAGAATGGGGGAAAACCTAGTTACTGAAACTCGTGGCAAGAATAGAACCTGCATAGTTCAATTTATCATATTCTATGCCTCTCAGAATGTCTTTCTGTGCAGATTATTACTTAACAGTTGCCAAATTTAAAATATTTGACCTCTGAAGTTCATTATTAACAAAATTGTCACTCTATGTGTCTCATAAATGTTAGCCAAATGTACATAATATTATAAACTAATGGTCAGTCTTTGACAGTACTTACATACACAGTTGTTTGATAAACATTGTAATAAGATATTTGTATTTTTTAATTTAGTATATAATAAAAATTATCTGTGCTAGAAAAATAAAAAAGCACTGGAGTCAGGAAACCTAAATTTTAGTCCTGCCTCTATCACTATCTAGTTCTTTGACCTTTGACTAAATTATTCAGAAGGAGGGGAGTAGACTCAGTGATGGTTAAAACCCCTTTAAGTTCTAACATTTCATTTTTTATTCTACATGTTACTAATTGCCCTCGTCTGGAAATCAGTGTTTTCATTCTGATCTTATTTTTTGTGTATATAAATTGTTCTGCAGAAACTCTTTCAGGGTAGGGTACTGATTAAATTAGTGTGAGAATTTACACCTTGGAAATCAGGAAGCTCTATATATCAGGGCTTGGTATATTGTTTTGTTGGTTAATAATAATAATAGCTAACATTTATATAGAACCACATGTCAGACACTATGGCAAGCACTTTACAAATATTACCTCATCTGATCCTTACAACAATTTTGGGAGGTAGATGCTATTATCCCTATTTACAGATTAGGAAACTGAGGCAAACAGAGTTTAAGAGCCTTGCCCACAGTAACAAAGTTAGTAAGCGTCTGAAACTGGAATTGAACTCAGGTCTTCCTGACTCCAGGCTCAGTGCTCTAACCACTGAGCTAGTTTTCTGCCCCAAGTGATGGAGAAAATGTTAATTATGGAGATTAAAATTTAAAAGTGTGTCCTGTATGCATTTTTTCTGTAGTTGGCTGTTAAACATTTGCCACTGCACCACTGGGTACATATTATTTTTCAATTCTTCCCACCTTAGAAGTCCACTTCAATCCAATAAACATTTATTAAGCACTTCTTATGTGCCACACACTGTGCCAAGTGCTGGGAATACAATTTATAAAAATAAGTTAGTTTGACTTACTAGAATATAAATCAGAAGTCAGTCTAGGGCTGCATTTGGACTACACCAAACTGGGGAAAAGAAGAGGGAAAAAAATGAAAATTATTGAAAGTTCAAAAAGTAGCGAAGAAATAAAATGTGATATAGTGAAATTTATAATGTTAAGCCTAGAATAAGAAACATGACATTAATAACTCATAGGAGAATCTCTAGAATGACTTGTAACAGGGATAAAAGTTACTAACTGGCAAAAAAACATAGCAGTAGCTATCCCCATGAACAAAATTAGAAATATCAGTCAATATTAGTTCAAAAAAATCAAGGAGGGTTCTTCTTGGATTCTTTAGTTTATCCCTCCTGATCTTCATATCAGGGAAATAGTTGAACCATATGAAGAAGGACAGATTATTTTTCAAGGAGTCTGTTAACCTGGCAACATTTTATTGCGTGACTGCCCTAGTTTTAATAAAAGTCGGTAGGGAGAATGGAAATAGTTTTCTTTCTGTGAAAATTTTATTTCAGTTTGAGCCAACTACGATACGGAACTGACCAGACTTTTTCTTCTTTTCTTTAGACTTTTGTTTTGGCTTCATAGTAATTATAGTAGATTTAGAACAGAAACAGACTTTGGAGGTCATTAAATACCACACTCTCATTTTGACGTTTAGTTATGGGAGTTACTGGCTAAATGCTGAGCTAGTAAGCAGACAGGCTGGGCTATCAGTCACCAGGGCTTTGCCCCCTTCCTTTTTGCAGGTCAAGCTATTCCTCTCCCTGGGGTGTGGCTTACTATCTAGCCACTTCCTTGGCACAATTGGTTTCTTTTCAAACCAGGAAATGGTAATGGCAGATGCTCAGCTGCTCTTTTCATTGTTCCTGACTCATTTACCCCCAACAAAAGTATTCTCTTTGCACTTATGTAGCTAAGTGGCACAGTGGATAGCTGTGAGACCTTGGGCCAGTCCCTTAACCACTGTCTACCTCATTTTCCTTCCTCAGTTGTAAAATGAGGATCATAATATCACCTATCTCACAAAGTTGTTGTGAGGATCAAATGAGATAATATTTGTAGCACAGTGCCTGGCACATAACAGGTGCTTAATAAATATTTATTCTCTTCCCCAGGTGGTGTGGAGAAAATGGACAAAACCTATGTTCTGTGTGTTGGGGAGTGGGGGGTGGGGTGGAAGGGTGAAACATCTTCCCAGAAATAGTAGCCTTAGAAGTCAAAGAAATGTAGTCTGCAGGATTATGTAAATAAAGACATTCTATCTAGGACCTCACTCAGGTCCAACCTAAACTTTCTGAAGATCTGATGAAATTAACTTCAGAGAAACACCCCTACCCGACCTGGAAACAGAGCTGATTTTGGAAGACACCAAGATTACTTCAAAATTGACATCCTGCTCCTTCCTCAAATCACCTGACAACTTGTCTCTATTCCTTAACCTCCCTAATAAGGAAAATGAATGAGCAGCCCTACCCGATAGGTGCCTTTTGCCCTAAAGCTGTGTAAAACCATGCATCTGTGTGTATGTATGTGTGTGTATCTCCCTTTGTTTTGGGGAGTTGCAACAGGTCATTAGCTGATACTAATTAAACTTTTTATCTTTTAAGCCTAGCCTCTTGATTTATTGACCGGTTAAAGGTACCTAGGTGGAGGGAATTGTTCTGGAGGCTCTTAGAATCTCTAGGCTGAGAAATGCCCCAACTGTGGCAGAATGGATACAATTCAAGACCTGAATTTGACACTTAGGACTTCTCTGACCCTGAGTCAGACACTTAGGACTTCTTTGACCCTGGGTCAGTCAGTTTCTTCACCTTTAATGCAGGAAAATAATGGCACCTACATCAAAGAGTAGTTGGGAGGAACAAATGAGTTAATATATACCCAGAGAGTTTTGTACATAGCTTCTTGTGTATTGTCTCCCCCATTAGACCATGAACTCCTGGAGGGCAGGGACTGTCTTTTGTCTTTTTTGTGTCCCTGGTGAGGATGGGATCTGGATTCCAAAAAGGAAAAACCCTGGAGTTTCCCACAAGGCCAGATCTCTGGAGTTTGCCTGAGGCTATAATCCTATCAACTGGCCTTTTGTTATGGATAAACCCAATCTCTTAATTCTGTTACCCTTAACCTAGCCTTGCCCTCCATTGTTTTACCTCCCTTTGGCCCCTGGCCACTTCCCACCCTTAATCCTAGCTAGAGTCCATTCTTTCTTGACCATGTGGTCCAGGTTCCAGGCTTTCTAGTCACCCTAAACTACTTGACCATTCCTAGATCCCGCCCACAGTCTTTCTGTATATAAGGTCCATCTTGTTTCCATTAAGGTGCTCAGATTCTTAAATTATAGCCAATAGTTTGCTAATCTTCAGACTCTTATTTAAGAGTCTGACCAGTATGACAGATGTTGTAATAAATCTTGTCTTTGGCTGAAAGAAGGGTTGGGTAGAATTCTTTTGAATAGGACCCACTTGTGATTTTGGGATTCCCACACTCCTAAACTTCAACATTTGGTGGCCCAGATGGGGAAAACTGTCTAATGCCAAGTTTTTCTCCAGCCAAGCCTGAAAGGTATGTAAGCCTCCCCCCTTTCTTTCTTGCCCCTGCGGTTGTAGTAGCTCTCCAAGCACCAAGGCTTGGAGGTGCTTTTCAGGCA